TTTTTTCTTTCACCAATGTTCATCTGTTTTGTTTCTTAAATTCCATGATAAATGAAACCATATAGTATTTGTCTCATAAGAGAGACTTTTACATATATTAATGTAACATATGGTTAGGGAAAAATTACAAATCAATGGGTAGGAGGAGAATTATGTAATAAACCCTATTAGGTTAGATGATCTTAATTTGGAAAAAATTAGTGCAGGTATCCAATGCATAATAAACATCACAATAAGTTATGATTAAAGAGTTAAAATATATAGAAGTTAAATAGTTAAAAAGAAAAGGAAGAAAATAGACTGGTTTATCAAACTTCTGGATGATAGATAACTTTCTAAGCTTAGGAGCAAAATATTTATAAAAGATACATAAATATATAAAATATGTGTGTAAAATATACAAACATGAATATGAATGTAAATATAAATATGATGTGTGTTTTTATATCCATCCAAAAAGAAAATGAATGATATATTTGGCTAAAAAAATTTTTTTTAAATGCGTGCACGCACACACACACACATTAAGTAAAAATAGAAAATAAAAAAAGAAAGAAAACCATCATTGATATAAAAAAAGAGTAAAAGATGGCAGGAGAGAAAATATGCCAGAAAAGCAGTTATTATTTTCAAAGAGCTCATGTAATCTGATATAAAAAATATGCCGACCGATCCATGCAAATGGGCAAAGGACACACAGAAAACTCAAAAGTGGCATTACAAACTGAACATTACATGAATTTATATTCAATCTAAAAGCAAATAAGGAAATTCAAAATATAAGCATAAAATATTTTTAAACTATTAAAATAGCAAATATTTAAAAATACTTGAAACACTAATAAGAAATGCTTATATAGAAACAGGTCCTCAAGTTTTTTTCTGGTGAAATTATAAACTGTTTCAATCTTTTCAGAAAGCAAATTGGCAATATGTACCAAATGTTAAAAACATTGATATCCTTTAAACCAGTGTTTATTTTTAGAAATATATGCTTTTAAAGGTCCAAAATAGGGGTGCCTGGGTGGCTCAGTCAATAAAGCATCGGGCTCTTGATTTTGGCTCAGGTCATGATCTCACGGTTCTTGAGTTCAAACCCCCCATCAGGCTCTGTGCCAACATGGCGGAGCCTGCTTGGGATTCTCTTTCTCCCTTTCTCTTTCTCTCTTTCTCCCTTTCTCTTTCTCCCTTTCATCCTTTCTCTGCTCCTCCCTCCCCCTCTCAAAACAAATTTAAAAAAATAAAAAAATCTTTAAAGGTCCAAAATATGGAAAAAAGATATATTCAGGATATCATCAAGACATTATTTAGTTTTTATATCATATATATAGGTAAATATATATTTTTTAGCCCTAAAGCCAAAGACAGCTTTGGTATCCAGTAGCAAAAGGCATTTAAGAGTTAATAAGCTAATTAAACAATTGTTATGGAAACTATTTAGTGATCTGAGAAAGGTTTGGTATGGTAAATGGGAAAACAAAGAATATCAAATGATCTGCATACTACAATTAAAACTTTAAAAAGTTTCTTAAATAGGGGAAAGACGGAGGAGATACAATAGCGAGTACACTGGAGAGGCAAGATTCTTGATAAATTTTTTCTCTTTTCCAAATTTCTATTATGTTATAGGACTTTTGTAAACAAAGCAATCATTTAAAAATCACAATTATTAAAATTATGAATCAATCTAAAAAATATACCTATGCAGGGTATAAAAATATCAAAATACTTTGGCCATAACAAAATTTTAAACACATTTGATTATCATTGAGAGCAGATACTTATGAAAATATATATAATTGTTTTGTCCACTTGCATTATGCAAAATTGTTCTTTTTCATAAACTCTTAGCATCTTCCTCTTTTATATTTATAAATTTAATTCTTTTAATTGAAAATAAATAATTTTAGGGGAGCCTGGGTGTCCAGTCAGTTAAGTGTCCAACTCTTGGTTTTGGCTCAGGTATGATCTCATGGTTTGAGAGATTGAGCAAAGAGCCTGCTTGGGATTCTCTCTCTCTCTCTCTCTCTCTCTCTCTCTCTGCCCATCCCCTGCTCACACACAGACACACACACACACACACACACACTCTCTCTCTCTCTGTCTCTCTCTCTCAAAATAAGTAAATAAACATAAAAAAATAAAATAAATCATTTTAATACACATATTTTCACTTCTGTTAATTTCACACTGATTTCTACTATGCATTCATAGCCATTTAGTTTAACTTGCTTCATATTTATTTATTTTCCAACATTTTATATTTATAAATTTAAATGATTATTTATGAAAGCAAAGCCTTGGAGTATAAGATAAATATTAAGTCATCGAGTAGTGTCTCCTCATGGATTTCTGTTATAAGAATTAATGTTTCATGGGGGGAAATAATTTTAAGGTACAACAACAACAACAACAAAAATCACAGTTAAGAAAATGCAAAGCTATAAAGTCATATGCTTAAAAGAAAAGGAAGACTGAACCATTTGTATTCAAATCACGCCCCAAAATATGACATAAATGACATGAATTGTATGGAACCTGAATCTCACCAGAAAGTAGATTCTGTGCTACACACTATCACGTAAGTGGATTTCGTGGTTCCTTGGCTCCTTTCCTTTCAGCCATTTGAAAGCTAATTCTTTTTCAAGCCCCAACATTTTAGCTATTACTTCAAAGAGCAACCAGTATGGATGTTCTCTCTTAACTGTTTATCTATACTTGTTAAAACTGTGAGAAGTTGTTAGAGCATTCAGAAAACTCCTTATAGTTGGCTGCTTTTTCTTTCTATATATCAGAGTCCACTTAATGTTAGACTGAGGGATTATAGTAACCAATGTATGTTTTTATGTATTACCTCAATTCATTCAGAATTTCCTCAATGTGCAATGCTGCTCTGCTCATTCAGCATATGGTTGTGGAGCCAGGCTAACTGGTAATTGTCTTTACAACGTTCCAGAGAAATAAAAAGTATACTTTTGAATAAAGTGTTAAATAGAATGACTTAACAGCAGTTCTAAATTCCTACTGGTCTTTATTTAGTCGAAAGTGAGTAGCAGCTTTGAATAAACTGAAAAGGCAAGAGAAAGGAGGAAAGGCCTCATTTTCTCATTGTTCTTCAGTGTATGAAAAATGGAAGTGTACTGAGAGTTGATGCAGTGATCTGGAACAACTCTAAAATCAAAACGATAATTGTGGATGAATTTGCCTTCCACAGGGAAAACAAAGAAAGCTTTAGCTCAAACATCTTTAGACATGGCTTTTAAGGAGCCAGGTCATCTAAACTATTTCAAAAGTTTTTTCAGTTGCTAAGAATGCAACATGTTATTAGAGGCAATACTTTTACTTACTATATGTGCAAACTAGTATGTGAATCTAATACAGTGAATCTGTGCATTACATTTATGCTCATTAATAGGCTTCAGAATATGCTTTATTACTTCAAGTAGGATTTAAAATGATTAATTTTTAAAAATTTTCTGAGAAGTCAAATTTTATTTATCTGGTGCTAAGTCTCCAGGAAGGAATTGCAAAATTGTTCTTAGGCCCAATCTGCACTGATTTCTTTCTTCTTTTCTTTTAGGTTAAAGTTAGTTAACATAGAGTGTAGTATTGCTTTCAGGAGTAGAATTTAATGATTCATCGCTTACACCCAGTGCTCCTCCCAAAAAGTGCCCTCCTTAATGTCCATCACCCATTTAGCTCACTCCACACCCTCCTCTCCTCCAGCAACCCTCAGTTTGTTCTCCATATTTAAGAGTCTCTTATGGTTTACCTCCCTCTCTGTTTTTATCTTATTTTATTGTTCCTTCCTTTCCCCTATGTTCCTCTGTTTTGTTTCTTAAATTCCACATGAGTGAAATCATATGATAATTTGTCTTACTCAGCGATCAAAAAAAATGCAATCTTGCCATTTGCAACAATGTAGATGGAACTAGACTGATTTCTAAAGATTAATTTGGCAAAAAGTGGAAAACATACCAAAGAGTGTACATACACATATACACACATATAAGTTTCTAAAGTGAGCTTTGAGGGAAAAAGAAAAAAAAAGAAAAACTCCAAACTTAAACAGATCCCTATCCTGTAAGTATCAAATCCAAAGTTTTCTGGCTGGATTTACTTGCTGATTTCTCTACAGGTGAGCCTTCCCTGGCTGTTTGCATGGTTGACTTTCAACATGTAAATCTCAGCTCAAATGCCTACTAACTTTTGATTGCCTGCGTGATAATCAAGAGAAAAATGAGAAATGGGATTCATAAAATCCCTAAGTTCTGACTTCAGCTATTAGCTTCTACTGCACCAGATTTACAAAAAGCAAATGATCAGCTTAATGTAATCCTTAAGTGATAAGCAATGGAAGAGGGAGAGAAAAGCAAAGGATAGCAGGACTCAGAGCCTGCATAATTGAATAGTGATTATAGTACATGCGGGAAACTAGAAATAATATTTTACATTATTTTTATTCCGGCTTTTCCCTATACACACATCTCCATTTTTATTTTTAGTGTTTTTTTGAACAATTCAGATTTTTTTAATGTTTATGTATTTTTGAGAGAAAGAGAGCACGCACACGTGTGGACATGAACCGAAGAGGGTCAGGGAGAGAAAGGGGAAGAGAATCTAAAGCAGGTTCTGCACCGACAGCAGTGAGCCCAAAGTGTGACTCAAACCCAGGAACCATGAGACCATGACCTGAGCCGAAGTCGGACGCTCAGCTGACTGAGCCACCCAGGTGCACCACACCTCTCCATTAGAACATAAAAACTTTGAAGTTTAAAATCAGTAATTATATGCAGCCTCCTTAAATTCTGAAGTATAATGCAAGTAAAAAGAATATATGTCGTTTATATGCAAAAATCTTCCATTCAGTTATGTAACATAATTACTCTTCTAAAATGAAACAGCAAATAACCTGCATTAAAACAGTTACACATATAATTCACTTCAATATTGTAAATGTTACCGTTCAGCGATTTTCTGGCAAAGGTTAGTTTTCTCACCTTGCACTTTGGACACTTCTGGGCATTCCTCTGCCCATGCTCAATTTCACTGGCCCAGTGACGCAACAACTTGTCCCCTTTTTTGTACTCCTTGCAGTTAACACCTTCATGCCAAGGAGAGTGGCACTTAAAACACCAGACGAATTGGCAAGTGGGGCACTGGATCTGTATAAGGAAAAGTAAGATTAAGCACTGGTAGACATATTGACAGTTCCTAAAAGGATAAGAATGATGATGCTTGAGGAGATTAGCTTGAAGGTTATAATCTGTCCAGACTTAAAATATTACCCCGCTGTAAGATTACACTACAATGAGATGTAACTGTTCTATTATTAAAGGAGGAAAGAATTGCTTTGACGTAGATGGTAAGGCTGTTTGTAGACCATACTGGAAATAAACATTGGGACATTCTGGAAATTATTTTGGTTTTAAGAAAATCTTCTAGATTGAAGCACAGAGTAAGAGCTGAAGTCCACAATGCTCTGAACCTGCAAACTAGGCTGCTGCCCTGAAATTCACATTTTCTTTGAACCAATTTCCCAGGAGTTTCCATTGCTATTACCAATGGCTTCATTAACTTTTATAAAATCAAAGCCTCACAGATGCTCCATCAAATGAAAAACACAGTGGCAAATAAACTACTATACCAGCATTTACTAGGTAAATGCCATCTAAAATAAAGGACATGCCTCATTTGCTATTAATCTAAGGGAGGTTAATTATAAAATTAATACAAAGGATCCTATTAGAAATATATCTGTATGGTGATCCTGTGGCCTGTACCTAGGAATCCATCAAAAAAATGTCTTTGCATTTTCACTATGTAGAGGTATATGTGAGAGTATGTGTTTATGTTCATTGAAAATATTTGTTTTCCACTTGATATGGAAGACATTTTTCTTACTTCCTTCATTTTGAATGATAGTGAGGTGTCCCATTCTCATACAATATTTCTGGTGTTCACTCTCCAAGAACATATAGGCATAATTTGAATTTCTCAGCCCTGTTAGATTAAAGTGAATAAAATGTCTCAATATAAACAAAACTGATAACTATTCTCCGTGCTCCTGTATATTATTTCACACAGCATGAGTGAATTTACTGACTACACTTTGAAAACTAGTTAGAATTTCTTTTGGTAAACTGCTGACAATATCTCTGCTTATTTTCTCGGAAAACCACTTTTTTTTTTTTGACAACAAAGCTTCCGATATAGAGATTAACCAAGGAGAAATTACAATCACAGATCTTATAACTCAAAGCACTGCAGTTTTTACTAATGTCAAGAATAGATAATATTCTTCCTATGTAAACATGAAGTAACAAAAGTACTTTTGCTTTTAATTTATATCAAAACAAAATGTTATTTTGTCAGAAAATTTTAAACATCATGTCTATTTATTTATTGAAATTCTCTTAGGTATAATATTTATACCACTGCATGACATGAAGTATTTATTTTCACCTCCAAAATAATGCTACAAAGTAGATAGAATCACAAGTTTATAGATAAGGAAACTAAGGCTCACAGAGATTAAATAACTTGTCCAAAGTAACGTAGCAAGTTTGCCTTAAGAAGAAATTTAAACATAAGTTTGTGTAGCTCCAAAGCCAGCAAGAAAGAAAGTATTCTTTCTTCAGCATTTGAAAACAAAAACCATAGAAGTCAAAGCCATGGTTAAGCTATTCAGTAAGTCAGAATTCTTCATGACTACCAAAAAAAGTGAATGTTGAAAATCCTTTTCAAAATTTTATTTACAGAAATTAGGAGACTTCTTGGTTATAAAAAGGAAGCATGTTGCTATTTAGTCATTTAAAGTAATCATTTTTGCCTTCTCTGGTCATTAAAGTTAAATAGTCATTTTAAAGTAAGAAGAATGAGTTGAAGTGGGTAAACTCCAGATAATAAAACAATATAAAACGATCATCTCCCCCTTGTCATTGAACAATGAGGAATAAATGTAAATATCACATGAGGCGTATGAATGTAACTTTCTCATGTAATGAATGAAATGGGGAAGAAGTCAGAAAGACTCGTTTTTCCTCACGTGTCTGCGATTATCAGAAGGACTTGAATATTTAAGTAAATTCCCTTCTATTCAACATGATTCATAATTTTAAATCACTGACCTCTAGCACTATCAAATAAAAAAACTTCTTTGCTTTTTAATCAGTCAGATTGTGTTTATGAAATGAACAGAAGAATGAATGAAATGGCACTTTGACACTGGGATTAACTCTGTGGATGTCAGACATCAAAATGGTTCAAGGATCTTTGTGACCAAGTGCTAAACTATCACCCCTATGGATCCCTAATGAAGACAATTAGAACCGTATGACTCTCCTAAGGTACCAGAATGATAAAGAATCTGATACGTGGGTGTCTACACCAGGGACTCAGGCTCCCAACTTTGCATAATAAACAGCTAAGTCCTGTGGCAATCTTCACCAACGTGAACTCGGTGGCAAACTGTGAAAAGAGTTTTGCAGCAAGCTCTCAAATGAAGATGAATAATTTAAATTCAGATCCAACTGCTTACTGTCTCTCACTGAAAACATTAAAATAACTATTGTTTTGCTCTGGAGTAAGATAATAAAAGGATTAATAGTCAACCCCAACAACACTGTTGTTCTATATTGTCTACATGCTAACTGTTTGGTCTGAAGATGCCTTATTCATTGTGACCTTAACCATATTCAAAATTGGCCTTCTATAAAACACAAACAGACATCACTGCTGCATCTTCTTTCACTCCTTTTTTTAATACTTCTTCCTCCACATGAAATGCTGTCTTACAACCACAGCCCTTCCACACGGAGTGCCTGCCTTCTGAGTAATTATATTCATGCAGAGGCCACTACATTCTATCCTTTCTGTCCCAAGTGTGGTTGGAGGGGCAGCTACATCAGCGTCGCCTGGTAGTTTGCTGAAAACAAAAATTCATGTCACGGCCCTTACCTACTGAATTAGAGCCTGTATTTTCACAAGGTCCCCTGGTGATTCACATGCATGCTAAAGATTGAGAAGCTCTGCTCGATACCATCTGACCCTATATCCCTGGTCACAACTGATTACAATAGGGATGAGTCCCTCAGCAAAACATGTATCCACTGGCTGGCAAGCAGTCTATGGGGTGGCTGGCATGAGTTTGTGTAGCTGGGTGCTCATAGTTGAACAGAGATTAGGAAAGACAGATTTATTCTCTTGAGGAGTGAAATGGGGATACACATAAACTTTACCTTTGCTGTGAAGACAAAGGTGAGAAAAGCTGAGTGAGCACAGTGCAGATCACAGAAGGGAACAACGGACATTCAGGTCCAGTGACGCAACAGAAGGGCTCTCATGCAAACAGAAAGAGTGCCCAGTTCTCTGTATTTTCAGTGGCTGCTGAGGCTGCTTTACTGCCCTTCCTTCTTCCTGTGGAGCCTTGCAGGAAACCTCGTTAACTCAGGTAGCTTGAAAGAAAGTATATCTCTGTCTCTTGTACTTGGAGAAAGTCCAATGAACACAATCTGTCTATTGAAATCTTATCTGGATCAAATACGACTTGCTTGAAGATGTCTTCCCTATTTCTCCCAAAGAGATTCAGTGTCTCTTTTACAGAACTCCCATTAGACATGTAGATGTCTAATCTCCTTAACAGGCTACAAGTTCACTGAGGACAAAGGATGTCTCAGGCATCCTGTGTTTCCTGAGATAAGTAACATAGAACTTCTGGCACATGGCAGGCACTCAAAGTTATTTGTAAAATGAATTATTTTACACACAGGAAGCACTACATATTGGGTAACATTAAATGAATTCAAAGAAAAATCAACATATCTATCTAATTTATGACTAATGGCTGAGATGGTATCATTATTTCTTAGATTACTAGATGATATTTACTAAATATTTTATCCACATGACATTTTACTGAGCATCATGATCATGATCAAACTCTCCTACAAGAGACAGGGGGCTGCAAGTGTTTTAAGAATAAAGTTATCAGAGTTAAGAATCTTGAATAACTTGTCCCAGAATCCATGAAAGATTAAAAAACCTTTATATTACATTTTTGACTTTTGAATTCCTTTAGTTTTTACAGAAATCTGGGCTACAGTGACACTCAGATGACAGGTTAAACCCATCTACTTGCCCTCAGCAAATGGTGTTTTCTCTTGACAGTTCGTCATACCAAATAAAAAAAAAAAACCCACAACATAAAAAGAGTTCAAAACCAAAAGGCACCCCAGAAACATCTTTTTTTTGGCTGAAATTCTATACACTCCTATATATATATAATTATTTTAAATCACAAAATCATTACTTACTAAACATAAAATACTAGATAATCTCTGTGTATAAATGCAGCATTGCAAATATGAGCTAACTCAGTTTTCTAAGAAGAATTTGTTTTATTAGAACTATAGGTTAAGACAGATACTCAATAATAAAACATATTCACCATTCATTTACCCATTCAAAAAATATTTATTGAGTACCTTCAAGTAGTAGGTACTGAATGTACTGATTTTAGGCACATAAAAAAGAATGAAAATACTTATCCTCAAGGAATTTACTGAAGACAGACAGATACAAACCCAGAGAGCTATAAAACGGTGTCATAACCACTAAACTAGAAGCTTGGACAAGTGGGTGCCATAGCAAAGGTGTTTCAGAGAAGGCTGGAAGAGTAATGTTCAGAGAGAATGTGGCCTTGAAGGGTGAGTGGAATGTGCCTGGGGCAAGTGGTAGGGTAACACTTTTGGCAGAGGGCACATCCTAAGCTATCACAGAGGCTGAAAGCACCCAGTGCATGGGGGGAAATAGCAAGTGTTCTAGTATGGCCCAGAGATGTCACCTCAACTGGTTCAATCCTCAGCCTTGCTGAAGTGTCTAATAAACAGAGTCCACTCAGTCTTACATTTATGCTCCTATACTCTTGATGCGTCTCTCAAAATACACTGTGGTCCAAACTTGCTTACATGAAACATACAACTTATGGCTTTGTCCGTAGCTTAACATGACTTAAGTCTTTGTCAGACTAGGCTGTGCCCTGAAGAAACTGATCAGTATATAAATAATAGAGAAATGGCATGGTTATAAAAAGTTTTATGATAAGATGGTTTTCTTGAAGACAAGAAGATTGTGAAGAAGTACAGGGTACAATAGAGAGGAGAAA